AGGAATTTCAGCGAATTGCCTTATCATCACATGGCAGCGTTCCATTTCGTCGTAATTTTTAGCAAACAAATGAGGTTCAAACGAGAGTAAAATGTAATTTTTAAAATAAAGATTTTTTAGGTAATAAACCTACTAAAAGTGTAAAATGTGGATTTATTTAAAGGTTTATAGTGTAAATTAATTAATTTAAAGTGCAAAATGTGAATAAAGTGTGTTTAAAGTGGTGAAATAGCCACTTGAAATGTCCGAATTTTGCRAATTTTTGAACTTTGAGGTCGAATATCTCGTAAACTAAGCGTTTGCGGTACCTATAACCCTATATATTTTTTGATCAGAAGAACGTCCTCTTTCCAACGGTACATTCAAATCGCGGCGCCAAAGAAATCGGAATTGTGCCAAATTTCAACTTTAATCGCGAATATCTCGAAAACTATAAGCTTCCTGCGGCTATATCCTGGGATGGTATACTAAAGTCTTCCCATTTCTTTTTCAATGAGCACTACTATTATTTTGACCGCAGCTGTATATATTTACTTTATCTGCAGGATCTTCTGTATTCTTATATACTCATAACGCCGAAATCGGGGGATGCTATTCTAAAATTTACCCGAATATAGAAACAAGTATTTGACTCTGGTTGCAAACGTTTTGACCACCACTGAATATGCATTTTCTTAATCTTAAGAACCCCTTTTATTCCGACATAATCACTTTAACCTCGACATCGGGGGATGTTTTTCTAAATGCCAGGTCAATAATTAACGAATTAAAGGAGCATAGACTTGACATCTAGTGTATATTAAACAGCGCAAGTACAAATTTTCACATATGCACTAAAACCAACACGAAAATATTCGAAAGTACATCGGTAAGATTTTTTTCAGAAATCGAATTCCTTTACAAATATTTTTTTACTTGTTTAATATAAGGAAAGGTGCCTGAAAGATATTTTTTCGCTTTGAGTATATAGTTCATAAAGTTTTTATTATCATTTGTATAACAACATTTACCTACCTTAAGTTTGTTCGTAGAASTCTACCGATAAAGTTAATTTTCTTGAAAAGTATAATAGTAAAAGAAGCTAAGGTACTCCAATAACATCCACTATTTCCACCTTAACACAAAGGAGAAGAGCGATTCTTTTAAAAAAAAAAAAATTGTATTGACTTAATTTGTGATTCCAAAATTAAAACTTCGAATTTCTAAAGGACTTGCTAGTTTGTATATGTAAGTGCATTTTTATGAATAAATTAAAGGTAATTAAATGACTCTCATTAAAAATGCACTAAGTTCAGTAGACTAAGTTTACAAACCACTTTCCAATATAATAATGGTATTAAATCTTCTTTGTTGCCAATAATTATAGCAAAAATGGAATCCTTTCAATACTGGAATATCTGAAAAGATTATATTCAATCACTATATATACAATTGTGTTTTATCACTCACTCTACAGAATTAYTATACATAGAAGTGTGGGTCTCTGTTACATTCTTTTACCAAGTTTATGATTCCAGCACATGGAGAATAATATAGGTTATACACTCAATATCTTCATTAAAATTTATAATGCTTTCAATAACTTCAAGAGTTTCAACACTGCTAAGTTTTCTTAGTTATATAAAGTATATTTTAATATCCTTAACCTTATAATTTTTTGAACATGCAAAGGCTTTTACATCAGGCAATATTACAACGAACGCGTCACCATATTTCGTTTCTTTAATGTGCGTTTGCACTAAGCAATTTTTAACTCCTATGCAAAAATCTATGTGTATGGCAGACGGTTTACTGTACCAGTATCCGACAAGAATGATAGAAGGAAAATTGCGCAATGACGAGTTCAAATTTTGTTGTTTCTGCGTATCTACGTCACGGTTGACCAACGTACAATCAACTGATTTTCAGTTGTTTATTTTTCTTTGCAATAAGAAGCAATTTTGTATTGCAGGCATACAAAAGCATGAATATCATCAAAAGTTAACATATTATTATAATATTATATATTAGTGAATATTAATAAGAGATATCAATACAAGTGAATATTTTATAGTGAACATTTACCTACATATTCATTTAATTGTATTTTCATAGTATTCTTTAATTTTGTCTCTTTGCTGTGTTTGTTTCAACCATATACATTTATGCAAATAAAACGATTGAATATTTTGTGACCAAGTATCAATTTATTGTCTTATTTAATTTAATTTTTTTTTCTATACATATGTTCAATTAAGTTTTTATTCAAGGAACGAATTCTAAAATACATTCTAGCTCTGAAAAACAATTATTTTACTTTTGAGCTACAATTTACAAAATTACTTAAATCTAAGTGCTTCTGGACGTAATTTGTACATAAGTATGTCAAATACTGCTTGCAAGGCTCTCATATGCTCCATCAACATATCTGTTGGTTTTGACAGTCCTCCTTCAGAAAGGTGATCCGCCCAAATATAAAAGGAACAATTTTCTCAATTGGCACAAATTTCGGGGTTGTGTTTACCAAGTTTGTGGCAGATTTACCCTGCCAAATACTCAAGTCCGTCGTTGCTGAGAATCTCAAAGTCATCTTTTTTCAATTGGGTCAGTGGAATTTAAATGAACTGACACACGTCAGAATTAGGATAAGAAACAGTGGTTAGTATGCAAAAACTTAGTTTATATGTAAGTACATATTTATATAAGAATGTTTTCTGTAGTTTTAGGTTTATAATACTATGTACGTTTAATATTTTGATAATTACCGGTTAGAGATAAGTAATTCCCTTCCAAATCTGGGGTGTTGCCGACTTCAACATTTCCTTCATCTGTAATCGCTCCTTCGTTGTGACCAAGTATATAGGCACACAGCATATACTTGAACTTCTTCCTGGCAGGGTGATCGTGAAGACCTCCTTTTAACCTGATTACGCCAATCAAATTTTCTAAAACGTCCTGGTTTAAATTAGATTCAATCCTTTTCTGCCGTTCATTAGCCTCTGCAGGAGCCGTGGTTAACGTGTGAAAGCTGGGTAGCAACTTCGTTGGATTCCGCAAGCTTAAACCTGCAAGAGTGTTTGGTTATAAAAGTAAAATTATTGTAATAAAATGATATAATTACCCATTTCAAGCAGAAAATATTTTTCAACGGCTTCTGGAGTGAAGGGCACATGACAAATGCACTCATTTTTAACATTAAATTTGTCCGCCCGACGACAAAAATTAATTCATAGTTTTATTACTGTTTTATCCTTAGGGGTATAAAAAAATCTCCACATTGTTATTATTGCATCCGAACACTGCGCAACGCATTTAAAAAAATATAAAACTTCACAATTTATACTACAATTCGAACTCACATTTAAATGCGCGGGCAAATAATAAGTCAACCGTGACGTCATCAAGAGCAGCTGACTGAAAGCAAACATGCGCATTCGGTAATCTCTTTCTCTATCAATCTTGGGTATCGGACGCTTTCTATTCGACTAAAGTCTCGTCATTTCTGCGAATTATCCAAATAGGAGCTAAAATATGTTTTTTAAGATATTTGCATTTAAAATTTAAAAAAATCAGGTATTTATTGTACGATCCATTATGATATATGGATTTTCTGCCAACGAAAAATTTTAAAATTTGGTTTTGTTAATACACATAGTTCATCCAATCGGCCTACTCTAATTTAAAATTCACATAAATGCACGAAATTCTTGAGCATTACAAATTTGCATTAACATGGGTCAAATGCACAGGTAAATGTAAATTAAGCCCGCTAATGCAAATTAGCGCTCTCGTCTGCCAGGGTTATAACCCTTCATAATTCGGTTCTATACATGTGATTTGTATTAAATTGTGCAGAAATAAATTGGCGGCGCGATCTGAAGGTACCGTTGGAGAAAGTCCTCCTGATTAAAAAATATATGGAGTTATTGTCGAACATTTCAACAAGCTATTTCAGTACATTTATTTAACACACTCACTCGTAGTGTGCATCATTTATGTGCTAACAATTATGACGTGGCACCTCGACAGGATAAAATCTATGTCTTATTAACTGTCAAATCTATTGCCATTGCCAAATCTGTATGCGGGCTTTTGTTATCATAAAATGTGACCTGGTCTAGGAAAAGGGAGCTAACGTGCGAAAACTAGTTTATGACTTTCTATCTATCTATTCGATTCTATCACGTGAAAAAGCATCTCATCCATACGAATCAACTAAGATTTTTTGACACCTAAGCCCCCTTTCCGTAGACCAGGTCACATATAATCATCATAGGTAGGTTCRAGATGAGCGCATTCTTTGAGCTCTTGAAAAATGTATTTTATCACATTGCGAAATGCCGTTGGGTAGGTAGCTGAACAGGGATAATGATATGCCCAACTTATTCCAGTGTGATAGTGCCTCAAAATAAGCGTTTTTTATAACCTTTTCCATTATGGCCAGATCGCACCAAATAAGAATTTTGGACATTTTAAATTAAAATACCCAACATTTACTACGATTGCAAATTATTTTATATTGGACTTTTAATATATGGCGAAACTACTTAATTCCTTTTTTACGATTTTATGGTATATTAAAACAACTGACTTTCGATATTGTAATACTTAATAAGGTGAATTAAGTTAATTATGTTAGTTCTCAATTAATAAATGTTTTTAATCATTTGTAATAGAAAATTAATTCTATTATCCATCAAATTACAAAAAGTTTCAAGATATATATTTAAATYTCTTTGATTTTCGTTGTTTCAAATTTTTATTAGCGATCTTGAACGGCGGCAATAAATTCCTCCGTTCACATAAATTTTTGGTATAATTTCAATCTGGCCATTCCAGTCATTCCAATTGCAAAATGTCAAAACCTACCCAATCTAGTCAACTGTCAAAGTTCGGTAGGTGAGCGGCTCTCACATTTGCAGTGACAGGAGAGTTGGGGATCTCTTTATCTCTGTAGCTGCTGTAGCGCATATTTTGAGCTCTTGAACTGTTTAAATCTTTTATGAGGAAGATAAAAAAAGAATTACGATGCTTTTTCAAATGTATTTCTGGAAAAAAATAAGAATTCATATTTTTTTACGACTATATAATAATTGGGGCATAAATTTTATATAGCAATTAAAATAATAAATTTAAAATGAGCAATGATATTTTTGTTAATGCTTGTATAAGCTTATTAAATTTAARACTTCGCTCATTCCCAACCGAATTTGAATAATTTTTCTGTAAATTAACAATATTAAACTATATATTAATTTTTGGGAAAAATGTTATTTTGAAAATGTACTTTATTTTCATAATATAACACAGTCGTCTTAATACTCGTTCTACTAAATTTCATATTACCGAAACGAAATGCCGTCGGCATATGTGCAAATGGGATATGTTAGAAAATTTCATAGAAATGAAAACTGCGCTGCCAAACTGCTGACATGGATAATATTATTCCCTGATTATTTGACAGCGATGGAGATCAGGGAATTTCTGTAAGTTGATTTAAGAAAAGAAGGGATGCCAGAAGTAAACCGCTATAATAACCTGACGAAATTAGTGTGAAATGAAACTTCATTGAACTGTGCGAACATATTTTGGCAAAATAAATGTTTATGTAAATTAATTAATGATTTTGCATTTTAGCATTTATATATGCTTGCATTTTCAAAGTRTTTAATTTAGTTTTTTGTATAATTTATTAACTACCCAAGCTAATATTTTTCGGCAGTGGCATCATTGGCAAATGTTATAAAAAATGCGAGTTTTGACAGCTCTCTCTCGAATCAAAGAGTCTCGTATCATTTTTTTATTTTTTTTTATTTTATAAAAGCTTACATAATAATACAATTATTATACAAACTTAAGAAAATACGCAGCACTAGCATCATGGGCTATCGGCCGAGATCTCGTATCATATTATCCACGCTGCTGAAGTGACAGCTTATTGCTTACAATATATGGAATACTAATTAGTTTGCCATATATTGTAAGCAACAAGCAATTTGGAGTCTCCGTAGGCAATACAGTTAGTAAGACATAGATTTTAGCCTGTCGAGATGCCCCGTGAAGAAATGGATAATAAGCAGATATCGGTGAAATTTCTTATTTTCGCTAACTCCTCTTCCTTTATTTAGCAATCTTAGTTCTAATAAAAACGAGCGTATATAAATTATATTTCAAATTAAAGTGTGTATAGCCAATCTTTCCATGAATGTAGATATTCTCTTATATAAATTTATTATTTATTATTTGTAAAATAATAATACAATTATTATTAAACATTAAACATAACGAGCACTAGCTACAGAGGCTTTCAGCTCACTTTTTTAATATAAACGACTTAAATAATAAAGATGGAACCTTCCATTTAAGAATTATTTACAACAATATGTTTTTATGAACTAAAAATATATGTTAAAAATAAATTTTAAAAAGGAAGGATAACTTAAATATATTTCATTAACTTTGTACGAGATAGGTATTCAGATACTTTAGTGATGTTTACAATGGACGTTATTTTTAATAAATCAAGAGCTTTATTATTCTGAAATATACTGGTCCTTGCTGAATTGAAGAAGKGGCATTCATCCAGTAGATGTATTATAGTTAAGGTGGACGAACTACAATATAGACAGGATGAATTAAGGTTTCCATTTAATAAATGGGAATGCGTTAATGACTTATGAGCAAGACGAAGGCGAACAAAGGATTTGTATCTTGGCGACGGCCTGATGGCGGATAAGCAGGTTTTTTGCCCTCTTGGTTGCAGACGACGTAGTGGTGTTGCACATTCTTCCAAGCATTAACTTTTATAGCTTT